CACACACACACACACACACACACACCACAAAAACATAACAAAGGCAAACATAAAAAGGTAAGGAGAAATCAATTCGCACCTGCATCTCCTTCACGTAGGCTTCCCTTCTGCTGGGAGTGCCACAGTTGCTGACTAACCAAGCCACAGATTTTTGCTTGCTCAGAGCCATTTGATCTAAGGAGAGATAAACGTAGCTTGAAGGATTTAGTCATAGAAAAGCTTTGTCTTCATAGATCTAATAATAGCCATTCTTTTTAACGAGTGTTGCTGGTCGACGCCAAAGAGACACGTAAAATTAGAATATATTATGGAGAGCTCCTGAGAGGGAAGTGAAAACTGGCTCTCGAAATTCTCAAGCAATATCTGTGAAACGAACTTAAAGGAAAAATAAAAAGTGAGGGGGGGGGGGGGGGGGTAGGCTAGTGTAATAATACATTTCTGTTTGACTGTTTTATTAACACGTAATTCGGTCAATGCAGCAATGGAAATCGTAGAAAGAAGAGAGGTGTGACAAAACTTCAAAACTGCGCCTTACCGAGCACAATGCAAACAATGAACTGTTCTCCCATCGTACTGCACAATGGCGATAAGTGCGTTGTTCCTTCGGTTTGTATTAGGATTGGTTATGCTGCGGATGACACTGATTCGAACTTCCAATGAGAAGTTCTTGAGCCGGAATTGTTGGGGAATTTCCACAGATTTCTACCAATCTGGCTCGGTCCTATTGGAGATAAACTTTTATGTTCGGAGGTCTTATAGCCTCAGGGTGTCGAAAAGGACTTTAACCAGCACAGTAAAATACAACGAAGGTACGAGTTGAGGTCACATTAAGCTGTTGCAGTCTTTGAAAGCATTAGTGAAAGTTAAAGATGAGATGAAATAGAATAGGGTATGGTAAGATAGATGATAATGCCCAGGGACAAAGAGTGAGAGAACAAGAGAGAGATTTATTAGAGAAGGAACTACAGACAAACAAAGAAAAGAAACAAAGCAATAATAGAGAGATAATAAGAAAACAAAACAAACAACGGGGGGGGGGGGGAAATGACAACGGGAGAGAGGAGTTTAAGAGAGAGAGAGAGAGAGAGAGAGAGAGAGAGAGAGAGTGAAAGAGAGTGTGTGTGAGAGAGAGAGAGAGAGAGTGAAAGAGAGTGTGTGAGAGAGAGAGAGAGAGAGAGAGAGAGAGAGAGAGAGAGAGAGAGAGAGAGAGAGAGAGAGAGAGAGAGAGAGAGAGAGGGGGGGAGAGAGGGAGAGAGAGAAAGAGAGTCTGCATGAAAGTGTGCTTACAATATTCGTCGTCCCTTGTGGGCTGAGCCGTGTGGGTCCAGGCGAATACCGAATATGGTGTGAAAATGTCTGCGTCCAAGCGATAGTTCATTGTCCAGTTAAACTGGTCCTTCCACAGATTGTATTTTGCTGGGGACAGTAAACCGAAACATTAAAACGAACGAGAGAAAGAGAGTTGAGGGGACCTTGGACGAATGTAACAGAAAAAAAATTGCGAGAGCTTTATTTGACAAGGAAGAAGAAATGGGACCATAATTACGTTCTTACAACCCTAACAAAAAAAGCAAAAATTGAATAAATAAAATAAACCAACGAAAAATTATGACATGATGGAACTGAGCTAAGTAACCCATTGATAACACAGCAGCTTGTGAATTCAGAGCTCAAAATGTTTTTAATCAAGCACAACAAAAACCAAAAACATTTAACTTTTAAATGCATATAACAGCTTACATGCCGTTCGTGATTTTATAGAAGTTCATTAAATTGAAATAGGGCCTATTGTCATTTCCTGAACACCAGAAAGTTGAAGAAATTAGTAAACCCAGCTATCTGAACAAAATTGTAATAATTGTCAGGTAAATTTAGTTTCAGAATTTCACAGCTCGGTTGTGGTTGCTTTTTTAAGTTTGAAAATGAAATTAGGAAGGCATGACACGATAATAATTGACTGTGAGCACTAGAACTTAGAACCCTATTTTTGTCAAATCGGGGCGAGGGGGTGGGGAAGGGAGCCTATTCATAATTTAGCCTCGCTCTAGATGTTGTCAGCTATACCAAATCCAGCTTGATCATCATTATACTATACTTGACGTTTTTTGTCGTTGGTTTCATGTTTCAATTTGAATGAGTGTATGAGTGTGCGTGTGTGTTTGCGCACGTGTGTATGTTTGTGTGTTTGTGTGTGTGTGCGTTTAAGTTTGGGCAGGTGTATGCATGTGTGTGTATGTGTGTGTGTGTGAGAGAGAGAGAGAGAGTGTGTGTGTGTGTGTGTGTGTGTGTGTGTGTGTGTGCATGTGTGTGAGTGTGTGTGAGTGTGTGTGTGTGTGTGTGTGTGTGTGTGTGTGTGTGTGTTTGAGTGTGTGTGGAGTGTATTGCAAAGAGGGTCGGGGCTAGTTTTTCTAACATGAGAGGCATTCAGGAAAGGATTTGAATTGCAGGTACTTATTTGTTAGCTATACCCCCGTTGTTTACAGTACTTGTCAAAGGATTTCATTAAAGAGAAAAGTTAATGCAAAATTAGGAACAAATCAGCAGAATGGTTTCAAAAAGTAAAAATTTGCGCTTTGTGTAAGCAATTCAAGCCAGCACTGACTATAGAAGACAGATAAGAATTATCGTTGGCAACCAGAACAGATTTAAAAGAGAAAAACTTGTAATGGCGTCACAGTACTGGACATTTCAAATTGATCTATTAGTGCTTTCCAAATGTTCCCAATGGAATCAGAGAAAGCACAGGAGAAATTAATCAAGTACCATTCATGTAGCATCATAAACAACACTTCATGTACACACAGAAACAAACTTCTTTCGGCCAAGCCAAAGATCCTGAATATTATTATTATGTTGAAGGATGAAAAGAGATTGTAATTTTTTCATATTATTCAGATGAAAGGCATTATATTCTATTGCATTGCAGCGATATCTTTTTAGGCAGAGTAGTGTTTTATAATATCAGCTTATTTATTACAACTGACTTTTAAAATAAAAGACAGAAACGCAGCTTTCCAGATTTCCAATATTTTTTTTACAGTACAGGTTTTACATATGAGCACCATTTCCAGGATTAAAGAATGTTTACTACAGATAGAAAGTTGAACCATACTATTGCGTAACCTCTGTTATTGCGCAGAGGTCAATGAGCCCACATTAACATAACGTGGATAATTAACTGATTTACGATGATGTTTTTATCTGCAAAATCCCTCATTAACAGTTAAAAACAAAAATTCACAGAGGACATTAAGTCAACAGAGTACGCCCTGCAAAACTAGAATGTTTTCCGTAAGGTTCCAGCAGAAGACCTGGTAATGCTCTTCCAGAATCTACTTACTGCGTTTGACACTACATGCAGAGAGTGGTGTCCGAGTATCTCGCATACAAAAAGTAGAAGCAAAGACTTTTAGATATTTTAACCAGCACCGGTAGCGGCATCGGCCAAAATGTGAGAAAATTGCTGTCTTCGTGGGGGTAGCTAGTTAGGACGTAATTTGAAGTCACTACTGTATTTCAGACTATAGTGCAGTAAAAAAATTCGTGGGGCAACCTATCATCAAAGAAATATCTCTTTACCGGGTGAATCAATATCATCCATACTTGGCACAGCACTTAGATTCAATTTTGTCTTAATTTGGTAATAATTCCCCCCCCTCCCCTAACAATTGAGACTACTAGATTATCAAGAATTTATTACTTGAGTTATTGTGGGAGATCATGATTTATCCTATGAGTGAAATTGTTGTAATCACGAGTTTCAAAGTACAGTGGAAACCTGACATAACAGGGATGGTGGGAGTAGAGAAAATGTCCTGTTATATCCAATCCCTGTTAAATCAGAAATGCAAGGAAAGTAAGCATTTGTGAACTAATCCAGCTGTACTTATTCATGGGTAGTTTCCTTTGCCACAAGTATCCACGAGCAGGGGTTTTGGCACCAACTTTCTCCTTGCCTCCTAAAACCACATCAGAAGAGCTTGTTCCACAGCATTTGCATCGGGTAGTCTCATCTTCTTTCGATCCAGAGCAAACTTTTCAATGGAGTATGCTGCCACTTATCTTCTCTCTATCCTTGATTACGGTGTGGATCGACCCTAGTGGAATGTCGAACTGACAACAAATGTCTGCCAGTGGAGCTTGCTTTTTGTCAACAGCCTGGATTATTTAGTATTTTTTTGTCAATTGAAAGGCATTTTCTCTTGCGTTTGACATCGTTGGTGACAGCAGATACATTACGCATGTGTGTTGCTAGGTTTCGGGCTAGATAAAGGTCTGCAGCACACCGCAGCGCTCTCTCGCTTAACACGCTGCGTGTGCTTGCAGTGACATGGCTTGCATAGGCTTGCTCTCTCTCTCTCTCTCTCTCTCTCTCTCTCTCTCTCTCTCTCTCTCTCTCTCTTTCTCTCTTACTTTTTACTCATTGTTTAGGAGCCTTTGTCCCTGCTATAACCGGTTGGGCTCCGATGAGGCCCTGTTATTGCCGATAACTTTTAATAGAGACAAAGAGTACAAAAAATCGGAGATTTAAAAATCCCTGTAATTACCGGATCCCTGTTATTACCAGGCCTGTTATATGTGGTTTCCACTGTATAGACTCTGCTTACAAAAGGTTAGAAGGTGAATGTAGTGCGCATAGTAATGTATGCAAATTCTGCTTATATGTGTGAAATGTACGGAGTCATTTCCCCGAAGTCCATTGCTAAAACAACCCCATGTATGGAATAAAAACTTTTCATCATAAGTCTAAATAAAATACTTTTAAAAAAATAATAACTCCGTCTCAGAGAACATGGGAATGTTCACGTCACTTCCTGCTTCTCACACGCATTTTGCATACTATTTTGTTAACGCATAATAACATGCCCTACGTCACAACTAACTAATGACACTCTTTAACAGTAAGCCTTGTTACAAGAAATACATTATCTAGTGAACATTTTTCTACACTAAACGTTCTCAAATCATACGAGGCGTTCAATAAAATGCCGCCTTAAGGAAAAAAACGACAGACGCTTTTAAAAGCGATATTGTCCGAGCTGTAATCCTTTAAAAATCGGTAGAAACCACCTACCTGGATTTTAAATTATTATTATTTATTGAGGAATTTTCTAGAATACAGATAACAGGTGTTTACAAAAATGATGATCTGTCAAAACTTTGCAGTCACACAGCCGGCAGTACAAAATGCCTCATCTGGTCACCCAACCAGGAGAGTGACTGACAGTGAATCGCACATCGTCGGCCTGTCACAGAACTGCGTCAAGTGACCGGAACGGATAATTTTCACCGTCGCATTACACTGTATAGGGAAAGTGACCACAAAGTGTTTAGGACAAAATGACTCAAGCCATTGTGCAAAAGCTGGAAAGTCTATGTTCGATAGTGGATAAATATTTGACAATAAGTTACGCTACGAATTTTTGACCGAACTATAATAACATTATTTTCATTCCCAGGTACCCGCTGCATAGCGAAACTAATACTATCAGTTCCATAAAGAATTGTTAAAACAAAATCAGTCATCTTTTACCTGGATACCTGTATCGTTGTGGGGCCTCGATTTGAAAACTAATCCAGATCTGACCAGATGGTCGAGGAGGTGGAAGTCCGATACGTTTCTCCATGAATATGATGACGGCGTCTGATTCATTGAGTCTGTCCCGCGAACTGTGAAACTCACATTCACTGTACGGACAAGCGGAGAAATCTCTGTTGTAAGAGACAAAAGGTTGGGGATTTCTTATAAATGTCGGACAATTATAGCATGCAATTACTTTCTTTTTTGTGGGCCGAGCTGCCAATTTATTGTTAGCTTTATTTCTGAAGCTCATTTCTATAACCGCATTCCTGTACAGCCGCGGTGTGACAATGAAGGGTGATTTGAAGGTGTGCTGATCAGTGGAGTCGTATCCCTGTTCGTGAAGCGCCTTCACTGCCCACTCCTTTTCTTTAGCGTTCAAGTTGTCTGTCCACGAACATAACGTAGCCCTGGATGTACCAATGGAAAACCACTTCAGATTTTCTCGTGACATCCCCGGCAAATGATGGATTACCGGACGCTTATAAATCAGACTACCATTTTTACTTGCATCGTTAAACAGTGGCGCTCTGGTTGTTGATAATACCGAAGATTCTGTCACGTTTTCCCACACCGAATTCAAATTTAGAGATGTCTCTTTAATTATCGTGGTCAAGTTTTTCTCCATGATTTGTCCCCGATCCACAGTATCATGTATCCTGTTGAATTTATTATCCACAGTGTCTGAAGGCATTTGGTCACCATCAATAACCTTGGGACCGTTTTCATCCGTTTGGGACCAAAATAGTTCTGAGTGTTTATAGATTCTGAATCTTTTCAAAGGCATCAAATTTCTATTTCCTTGAATAGCATATGAGGCTGGCCATGTCCAAGGCTTTGGATCAAAATACAATTTGTAGGCAAGCAAGAGTAGAAAGCTTGTGCTGAGGGAAGTGAGAATTAACAAAACGACGAAGAGTTTCTTCTGATTCCACGTGGCCGCCCAACACTCCTTTGCCATGCTGTCTGTCTCGATTGCTACAGTTCTTGTTTCTGAAAGTATAGTATTGTGTATATAAGAGCAAATTTGTACAACACGAACCCTTTTTAATTAGGTCTGAGTTCTCAAACAATGGAAATTCTCTGGAATATTGCAAACTGAGAGTGACTATTCGCCAGGACACTTTAGGTCTAAAACGTGTTAAAATTCACTGAGATAAAGGAAGGGATAGCTTTACTTTGATCTCGTAAACAAAAACAACAGTCTTTGCTGCCTGTCGTTTCCAGTCCTAAGAGAAAAAAAAAACTACGATAGCCGTGTCATGTTTCAATTTCATCTGTTTTCTAACCCCCCCCCCCTCCCAATCCCCACTAACCCCTCTCCAACCCCCCCTCTCTCTCTTTCTCTCTCTCTCTCTCTCTCTCTCTCTCTCTCTCTCTCTCTCTCTCTCTCTCTCTCTCTCTCTCTCTCTCGATCTCGCTCTCGCTCTCTCTCTCTCTCTAATATATATAATATATACACCACAAGCTTCTATAGAAATTTCTTGAAGCATGAATTCGAAGACTACATATTTCAACCAAATTTTAATACGTAGTCAAATCATTGGGACAAAAGCTGTTATTTCAGTTCATATTATTATTAAGATAAGAGATAAGATAAGAGATAAGATAGTACTTTGTTATCCCAGAGGGAAATTTTCCTTGGCTGTACAGGACCGTAAAAACACATGCAGGTATACATAAAAATTTTAAATTATATATACAATACTCTCATTAAAATTCAATATGAAACGAGAGGTAAGGCTGACAAAATGTACATTTACATCAAATGCATCATTCAACCACATGCAGGAATTCAAATACTAGACCTTTTGAGTTATATACAGATACATACTCTTAGAGCAACACCCATCTATGCTCATTCTAACAAAAGCCTTATGCTAGATGGTAAAAAACTTCTTTTATATCTTTCTTTCTTTGTTTTTGGGGGTACATATCTGCCGCTGCGTGATCTTACAATTTGTGTGGAAAAGGGGTGTGACGAGTCGTTTATAATGCTTTTTATCTTTTTTATACGTGTGGCGTTATACATTTCATCCATTCAATTAAAATCATATCCAGAGATCTTGCTGGCTTTCTTAATGGTTCTGTCAAATTTTTCTTTATCTTTCACCTTACAATTCCCACCCTAGCAGCAAATACAAAATAATAGCACACTTTCATTTGTGTAATTTGCTCCTTCAATTGTAACAAACATCCATTATCCTTTTCTCTCCGACTTTTTTCGGGGGGAGGGGGGGGGGGGGGTATGATACTCTTTTGTGAAACATTTTATCTTCGGCACTCATGTAAACCTATCTGTGTTGCAAATAGCCATACAGTATTGACATTAAATCAGGAGCAAGGGCTTATCCCACCGTTACTCCCACATCCTGATGCGCTACTTTCAAGATACCAGATGGACTACCCCCACACCTCAACCTCCTCGCCGAACGAAAAACACAAGTCTCCTGATCAATGACATTCCCAAGCCTGTATAAACACGATGGAAAAACGCATTGAGAATGAACTGAATGTTATAGACTGGCATGGTAGACCATCAAGGAAAACAATTGTCAGACTGCTGAGGTGGTAGACCATCAAGGAAAACAATTGTCAGACTGCTGAGGTGGTAGACCATCAAGGAAAACAATTGTCAGACTGCTGAGGTGGTAGACCATCAAGGAAAACAATTGTCAGACTGCTGAGGTGGTAGACCATCAAGGAAAACAATTGTCAGACTGCTGAGGTGGTAGACCATCAAGGAAAACAATTGTCAGACTGCTGAGGTGGTAGACCATCAAGGAAAACAGAAACATTGCGGTAGACCGTCACGTGGACCAGCGTCGACTTATTTTTTCCACGATCGATAAAACCTACCACGCCTCATTTAAAACCCCGAAAGAGTCCAAGACGTTATCAGCATGAAGCCAAAGAATGTTTAAAGTGAGATCTATATTTAGCCGTGCATTGCCAGCAGGCTTCTTTTACCCCTCTCGTGTGGTTTTTAAAATCTCTGGCCTACATCCATTTTCTATTGCAGAATGTTTGCGCTTGACTTTCTGTCCAGTAAAAAAAAAAATAACGAAAGACGGCGGAAAAGGCGTGACTAAAAATTTTTAAGAATCCAAACAAAATAAACAAGAAAATTACGAGACATCCTTCGACAACCCCTTAGAGACTATAATTCTTTGTGGGAACTTATGAGACGCTTAAAAAAACTAGATATGAACAAAGGCAGGGTGTGGCATTTAATTAATTTACTGGTCACTGACACTTTCAACAATGAGCAGGCTGTTGAGACATCCAGGTTCAAAGTCCATCTTGTATAGAACAAGCCAAGACTGCGAAGAGCTTTGAATCGTCAGAATATTACCCCTTTGCCAATTCGGTCTAGGGCGATCTGAACTATAGTGGGGCCGCTTAGCAAACCTATTGTGCATTTTGTGATACAAGCACCAAACTTGGCACAAATGTTCATTAACATATTGAAATCATTTTCAGATATGGGGCCACTCGGATTTCTCCCTTAATGGCCGCCATATTGGATTTCAAAATGGCCGCCATTTGAAATCTACATTTGCGATTATCTCTGGGTCAAATGCTGCTATTGACTTGATTTTGGTGTCTAAATATATGTTTTTGGGGTCAACAAATCCAATGGTAGCAATCTGCATTGCGTAATTTTACTAAAGGGTCGCCATATTGGATTTCAAAATGGCCGACATTTGAGATCTACATTTGTGATTATCTCTGGGTCTAATGCTGCTATTGACTTCATTTTGATGTCTAAATGTATGTTTTTTGGGTCAAGCAAGCCAATGGTAACAATCTGCATTGCGCATTTGTACTAATGGGTCGCCATATTGGATTTCAAAATGGCTGCTTTACATTGCATGGCTGCTTCTCGATCTACATTCGTCGTTATCTTGTCGCCGTCACGTGTTAGGAGAATTACAAGCCAAACCCTTCACAGTGTGCCCTGGAGGATGCCAAGAAGAATCTGTTGCAACCGTTGCTGCTTGCCTTAGTCAGCATGATCCTAGAGAGACCCAGCATCAAGGACCAGATGGCAGACACTAACCCTGCAGCAATTACGGCAGACTAGATACTGAAGTTCAACTGCGTAAAACACAAGCGAACACGTAGCACCACATCATCCACTTGTGTCAGGCACAGTGTTGCACAGGAGACCCCACTTCCAACATACATTGGGATGATGTTGCATGCTCATACACACAAAAAGGAATTGGTCGACAGACTGTCACACCTTGGCCTGAGCATCTCTTATAATAGAGTGCTCCAGCTCTCGGCACAGATGGGAAACCATGTCTGCCAACAATTTTAAAGAGATCAAGTGGTCTGATCTCCAAAAGTGCGTGGCGAAGAGTTCACAATTGCCGCTGCAGATAACATAGATCACAATCCTAGTGCAACAACATCAAAAGACTCCTTCCAAAGTGCCACTATCTCCCTCGTACAACATCCTTCTCACACTGGTGAAGGAGTAAATCGGAGCATATTCGTTGCTGGAGAATCTGGGTATGCACGGTCCAAGACTGTCGCCCCTTTGCCGCACTATTGTACTGATGTCACTAGCAGCATCAAGACGTCGCCTGTCCCAGCTGCTGGAGTTGCGTCATTGACCAGAGGAGACTTCAAACAGTGGACTGCTGAAGAATACCATTGGTTAGGCAATGCAAAACACGCCTGGGAGACAACACTTGTACAGTGGACAATGAAAACACATCTTGGGCTGCATTTCATGCCAGCCGACAGCCACCAGAAGGTAGAGTCATCTGTCCCACGTCGCTGCTTCCCCTCTTCCTGGAAAGTGCCCACACTGTGGCAATGATCAGGCATTCAATGGACGCTGTGAAGAAAGCTGTAGAACACCTGAATCCTGGACAGACATCAGGGGTCACCTTGGATCAGCCACTGTTAGCTTTGGCCAAGCAGATACAGTGGAAGTGGCCACAGAGTTATGGGGATGACCATATAGTGGTGATGATTGGTGGTCTCCACATACAGATGACAGTACTGAAAACACTGGGGGACTGGCTGCAAGGGAGGGGTTGGCTGGCAAGCACCTGTGCAAGCCGAGATTGCGACAGCAAGGACAGCAGACTCATTCCTGCGAGCATCTCAAGTCTTGTGCACAAGAAGAGCACTTCAAGTAACTGCAGCAGCACTGTACATCCTGCAACACCATGCCTACTACCACTACTGTCTGGGAGAAACCAGGGATGCAGAGGACATTCCCGCGTTTGGAGACTGGTGTCGCCAGAGATGAGACAACATCTCCCAGTTTTGCTACAGAGCAGCTGTGCTGGAACAAGAACTGTTGGTTCTAGTGTATGTGCGTTCTCTCAGGCAGGGATCTTTGATGATGTACCTCGATGCTCTGACAGAGCTGGTCACCGTGTTCCACGCACTAGATCATACCCACTATGCTAGGTGGATACCAGTGCACCTGAAGAACATCGCCGAACTCACTACCAAACACCCAGACGTAGCAAAGAAATTTAGTGAAGGCCATTTCACAGTTGAGAAAACACAGAGGGTGTTCTATTTAATCCCGATTGACCAGGCACATGAGCAGAAAAATGCCTGCATCAAAGGAAACGGTGGCGCGGTTGGGCTAAATGACAATCCTAGTGCCCTTCGCCGCTTGATGGTTTCAAGACCAGGAATTGCTAGGGAGATCGAAGAATTCCAGGACGGGAACCAATACTGGAGAAGGCAAACAGCAGACACACGTCATCATGATCAGACGCCAAGTGTACATGCCTCATTTGTGAAAGATGTTCGCTCTCTCGTCGGTGTCATAGAGAAGATGGGCAACCCATTCGAGGAGGAGAGTCAGGATCTAGTCATACTGGACACAAAGGACATCGCAGGTCATTGTGCCATGGAGACCGTGATGAAAGCCAAGAGGATTGGACAAGAGCAGCCCGAGGCTTTCACCAAAGAGTGTCTGTCGGACAGAACAAAGGCAGTGGACGACCCCATTCCTCGTGACAAAGCTGAAGGTATTCAGCACTTCCACTCCAAGAAACAGGAGTAAATGTTAGGAACACTTCGCCTCTGTCAAAAATTACCGTGAACTCATTGCACGCCTGTACATTGGCTGGCAGATGGGGGATGGAAACCTTGAGGAGTTCTTTCGTCACAAGAACCAGGCATGTCCTCCTGCACTGTCTGCTGGTGGAAACCTCTTCACTTGTACTTCTTAGTAAGAATGATCTCATCACAGGCTTTGAAGAAATCTTCGACGCCAAGACAGAGACTCCTGTCACTACCTGTATAGTTTTTGAGGGAGCAGCCATCGCCCACATTGGCTGCATTAAATTAAAGACATTTGAAGAGTATGCTCCTAAGATCTTCTTTCCATAAGGCAAGAAGACTGGGTGGGCAGTCTGGACGGTACTGTCAGAACTCACTGAAGCGCTGCTGCTGGTGTCCTCTGCACCACGCGACATACCAAACGATGCAATGTCCATCATCAAGAGGTTCGTGATCCTGTTGTATGATCGAACTAGCAAATGCACGGACATTGACACCGCCAGGAGGAAATTCTTCGCAAGGAAGAACGATGTGCAGCTGATCCCCCCAACGAAGGTAGCTTTAGAGGAACATGTCAAGAGGGGAGTGTAATGAGGTGGAAATGTGTGGGGTCAGATACTTTTGCCAGCAAAAGAGCTCCCTCCACAAAACAACTAGGGTTGGTCAATGACTGGAGGGCAGTGCACACCATACTGGACCAAGCTACCCGAGGCAGCTCACAGCTGCATTGAGCTGGCTTCTTGCAAGTGCCATTTATGGTGTGTGAGGCTGTGCAAATGCAAGGGTTGTTTTGAAGGGTATTCAATAGTTTTCATGGCGTCCTTTCATGTCATGACTGAGAAGGACGTAAAATCGGAGATCCACCATATCAAATGATCTTACTATTAGTGTGTTCTGTAAAGCGATATTCTACAACCAAATCAAATCAGCTTCTATGGGAACAAAGTCAGCTGATTAAAAACAGTAAATCAGAATTTTCTTTTTGAAAAGAGTCTCAAGAGTTACACTTTGAGCTTCTGAAGTTGAAATTTCAATACACAGGAGACTTCAATGAGAATTGAAATATTAACCGATGTCATTTTAACGGCAAACTTATCAGAGCTTTTTTACCTCTTTGCTGAACCTCATTTCGGAGGAGTTTTGTTAAACACAAAACAAGCTATGTTAGCTGTGGCTTATTATTCTGCAGTACTCACAATCAACATGATAATGTAGCACCATTCTGAATTCAAGCGCTCGTCAAAATAAAGAAATCGAATTGTTTTTATTTTTATTTTAGGAAGGGGGGGGGGGGTTAACACCCATAATGTCCGTTTAAAAACACATTGCTATTTGGATTTTACTGCCAAACGTTGATCAAAGGCACACAAAAATGTCAATTTGCAATTTCTGAGGCTTTCGGAGTCACCAAATTTTTGGCTGCCATTTTCTGGCTTGTTTTGTGTTTAACACTAGACGACTCCAACCTCGATCGATTACAAATGCGACATCTATTAAAGATAGACGGTACTTTTTTAATAAAAAAAAAGAACAAGTTTTAACATTATACCAATAACTCAACATGCCTAAACACTGACAAGTGCCTAATTCCACCGCTTGTTAAACATTATTACAACCTAGCAAACGTCACCTGCTACGAGTAGGTCCTGATTGTTACAATGGGGACCCGAAGACATTTAAATGACGCAAAATGGATGTTGTCTAACGAAATGAAAGGGTTTGGGCATTTGTTTGGGTTGACAGCTTAAGCCTACGGCGGGGGGGGGGGGGGGGGTTGAGAGGGACAGAAGTACAATATCAAGTATTTTGAATCACACATTTTGTAATTTTCACACAACCGGCCCAACAAATCTATGCGGGAGAAAAATATCAATCAATAAACTACAAAGTTTTCACTCGAACGAACGCAATGAACATTTCCATTAGGAAAAGGCAACTGCACAATTGACAATTCACTACCATGAAATTTTCTATCTGATATTTTTGGCCGTTTTGAGTCACTGAGGAAACCGTGAATTTAGAAACCAATTTATGTTCTTCTATCTGCTCTTATCAAAGTAGTAAAATTATTCGGAGCCGTTTTCAAGAAATTCATAGAACTGTATTCAAAGAAGTTTGACATGTTGGGAAACAACATTTTTACGTCAAATTACAGAACTTTGTAATTTAAGGGAAGCGAAATATTTGGACAGTATGTTAAATGGTTACTACGTTGCTAAGGTGTTTATAATTCAAATTTGGTATTCAGAAGCGCGTTAACGTCTGGTGATCGGTTTTATCACTTTACCCCTCCCCCACCCCTCACATCCACACTCAAGCATTGCACTCAATAATAAATAATACATTTAACATACGATTGCTACATGAATATCCGGACTCTTTAGTCTGAACCTCTTTTCATTGGTTTTTTTTTTAACGAAGACAGCATTAACTGTTATAATAGATCTAAACAACTCCATAACATAGAGAGATATGAGTCATAACACACACACACACACGCACGCGCGCGCGCACACACACACACACACACACACACAAACACACACACACACACAAACACACACGCACACACACACACACACTCACACGTGGACTCTCGTGGCCAAGAGGTTATTAAGGTGTTGGCCTCTCAATCAAAGGTACCGGGTTCGAATCCGAGTAGCGACCGAAACATTTTCTTCTCTAAAATGGTCTCTTTTCACTTCCTTTCCTGCTCTCTAGCAATGTTCTGTCGTCTGCTTTCGTCTCCTCTTTTTGCCCCCACCCCCTCACTTCCTTTGCCCCCTCCCCTGGGCTTCTGACTCTTTCTGCAGCCACGTCTACTGCTACTCCTTGGCTCCTTCTTAGCGCTGTCTTTCAGCCACACCTCTGATCTTCTGATAGGAAAGATCTACACCTAGCCTTCTTGGACAAGGGCGGAACATCTCAGAGGGCCCGTGTGCAAGACGCGCACGATAAAGATCCCTTGGTGGTCTAAAATCGATAAGAAAAAGCTTCGGCCGCCACCCGGGCAAAATTAAAAATTTCCTACCACTGAACAAGTTTAATATATTCCGCGCGCTCACACGACTTTAAGCAGTTGCGAGCGCTGTAAAACACTTACCAAAAAACAACAACACACACATACACATTAACACATACACACACACGCACATTCTCACCCCCCCCCCCCCCCCCCCACACGCACACGCATACAATATGCTTACACACATACCCTATTATATAAAATTATAATATACTAAATATATATATACTTGGCTAAACTAACAGAACAAACACCTCAGGAGACATTTATCATAAAGGGGCAAAGAAAGAGGGCGAGAGATGGTAGGCTCAAGGTAACCATGACACGTTCAACTAACCATACAACAGGACATTGTTATAATGTGTACTTGTTCTACGGCGCAAGGCGCGCTACAGTAAGTCTTTTCAGGCCACGCCCTCATCTAAATTTACTATTTACTCCTGAAAACTGAAAGAAGAATAAAGTAGTCTCACAGCAGACATGATATTTCGAAAACGAAACAGCTTTCTTTATGGACGACCCAATTTCCCCTTAGAGTTTTTTTTTTAAGGAGAAAGTCAAAAAAGAACTGGTGGACACGAGGAGGGGTGGGGGAAAAGGACTGAAGCATAATTGTTTGCCCTACCCAGGGCAGAACAGTTAATACTCTTAAGACAACGATTCGAATTATAGAACATTGTCCCGGCCTTTTCCATTCCATGCAAAAAGTGACAAAGATTTAATTAAAAGAAAAGATTGCAACATCCAAAGAAACGTGCAACAGAGTGAAGCCGATTTCCTAAAAAGAAATACAGCAGTGAAAACAAAGAAAGGACCATGAAAGTTTGTGTGTTTCCTTTTGCATGGATATGGGTATGGGGGCTATAAGTGCCGAAAATTAGAGGTGTTACAAGACAGTAATAATCACAAAAAATAGAAGGAGAGAAAAGGACGATTGATGTCGATCGGAAAGAAAGAGAAAACCACACCAGATCGCCCGTATATAAGGGGAATGAAGAGAAGAGGAAAACAGAAACAGGGAACAATAATATTATGACTAACAACTCTATCAGAAAAACCGAACGGACTAGAACTGACAAAAGGAAGGAATAAGGTACTGTTCACTGTCACCGTCAATGTCTGCCCCAGACTTGATAAAGACACATGAAAAACAAATTGGGGTCAAGTGGGACTTCCCTCGTAAGCATTTCCGAAATAATAGTTCACTTACCTTAGAACTCAGTGAGCGAAACACACCGTGCCGAGTCTTCAAGTTCTCCTCTGCTCTGCCTGAGTCCGAGCTACCAACGCCGTTTGCATTTATCAGACGTAGGCCTGGATATAGATCTACAGTCTAGATTCTACCTGCGCACAGGATTTGCCTGTGACAGAACTTGGTCCCATAACAATAACACAAGGGAAGAGGGTAGAAAATCTACGAGTCGAGTATTGTATTAACAAAATCCGATACCCGGAACGGTCAAGTGTTCGTTGGAATACCACGGTGTCGATTATCAAAATTGTAACGGATTTGGCGATAGGCCTAGCCAGTGGAATAGGGCCCAATGGTATGCACGACTTCATAGCCATGGCACCAATTTGAACGCGTTGGCGGTCATTTTGGTTTGGGTTGAAGAGGTGAAAGTGCAGGGAGCTCTGTTTGTGAGAGTCAGTGTGATAGTGTATGTGTCTGCATCTGTGTGTGTGTGTGTGTGTGTGTGTGTGTGTGTGTGTGTGTGTGTGTGTGT